CCCGTGGCGCTATTCCTTTGGAGGCCCGCTGCCTCAAGGTGGTGCTGCAGGCACCGCGTCGGCCCGCAGCTGTCCGTCACCTCAACCTGCCTCTGCCACGCCAGGCCCACCTCTGTGCCCTGCCCTCCCTCCGGGCCTGCTGGAAGGCCCAGCAGCTGTTCGCCAGCTGGTAGCCTGGGTCTCCAGTGGCCCACTGCCAGCCGGTGGAGGAGCTGCTCCACGGATGCCGACGGCCACCTGACGCACCCGCTGCGTTCCGCATCTCCCGGCGCACCGCCTGCAGCCTTGCCTCCTCCAGCGTGGCCGTGACTATCAGGAGGGAAAACACACACAGACACAATTAATCGTCGACCCCCAGGAAAATATGGGAAAATATGGGAAGTGGGGGAGAAGACAAAAACCCAGACAATACGGGAAAATATGGGGCATCCTTTTATTTGTGTGTATTTCTTTGTGTGTCCTGGGGCCCCTTCAGACTAGCCCCCCAAAAGCCATCCGGTGCATCGCCGCTGCCGCCCCCGCGCCCCTGCTCGACAGCCGCCCCGGGGGAATCTTGGCAGTCCTCCGCAGCCTCTCAATGCCAAGCTCAAGCTTATCACGCTCCAGGGCCGTCAACGCCGAGCCTTCGAGGCAGAATTCGACGCCAGGCACCCTGAATACCCTGCTGGCTTTGCCTCCTCCTCCTCCTCCTCCTCCGCCTCTTCCTCTTCTGCTGCCGAGGCCTCGGGAGACACCGAACCCCTGGGTCTTGCCAAGGTGCGACCTTGGCTCTGTCCACCGAGCTCACTGTGCAGGCCGTACGGTCATCGGCATGCGCGCAGCACGTCGCCGTGGCCACCCCTCTGCTTCACGCGGCACGTCGACGGCACGAGTGCCGTGGCCCTGCCCGGCCTTCTCTCGCCGCATCTCCCTGCGGGAGCGGCCAGGCGACCGCCACCGGCTCGCAAGCTGCGAGGGCGGTTGCTCCTCTCTGGCGCTCCTGGCGGCATAACATTCCCAAGATGTTATCCACGATGTCGTCAAGCACGCCACACTTGTTCCACATGTTCGGATGCAGCTCGGAGGTCAAATTCTGATTTTGCCCTGGTCCGAAATCCAGCGCAATCCGGCTTGATCCTGCTGGATCCAGCTTAATCCCGCTTCATTCCGCCTACTCTGGCTTAATCCCGCTGAATCCGAGGCCCTTTCTGGCGTAGACCAGCCCCACAATGCGGCCCAACAATCCTCCCTAATCCTTCCGACGAAGACCTCCCAGTAGCTGCCTCCTAATGTATGTGCCCTGCACTGTTTGGGCCTCCCTGCCTTCGCATCCGCCGTGTTACTTTTTGTTGCGATGCGTCGCAGGAGGCAGGGCGGAAGTCATACCGCCCTATACTTCTCGGGCTCCGTGGAGGTCGAAGCCCGCCCTGCTTTGCCGCCGGTGTTTCTCAGGAGGGGAAGGAACACACAGATACAATGATTCGTCGATCCCCCGAAAAATATTGGAAAATATGGGGAGTGTAGGGAACACAAACCCAGAAAATACATGACAATATGGGAAATGCGATTATTTGTGTCTATTTGTGTGTGTGTGTGTGTGTGTGTGTGTGTGTGTGTGTGTGTGTGTGTGTGTGTGTGTGTGTGTGTGTGTGTGTGTGTGTGTGTGTGTGTGTGTGTGTGTGTGTGTGTGTCCCAGGGCCCCTTCATGCTTCTCGGACTCCGCTGAGGTCGAAGCCCGCCCTGCTTTGCCGTCGGTGTTTCCGCCACACCTTTGTGGACATTGCCCCCCTTACGTGGCGGAGGCGGAAATCTCCGTTAGCTCCTCCTCCTAATTTCCCTGCTCTTTTTGCATCGGCCATGCGTGCACTCTCGTAGGCCGCTCCCAGCCCCAACTACGTACCAGCGCAAAAGTAGGGGGAGGGCGGGACAAGCGGCCCCACCCTCGACACCCACATGGCGGCATACATGATCCCGGGCTCCGGGCCCACGGGCCCCCCCCCCCCTCCCCCCCAGATGGTATGGTTCCAGGATTCCTCGGGCCCCCCCCCCCCCAGATGGTATGGTCCAGAGAACGACGACGACGACGACGACGACGACGATGACGAACGACGACGACGACGACGACGACGACGACGGCGACGACGACGACGACGACGACGGCGACGACGACGACGATGACGACGACCACGAACGACGACGGCTGCGGCGGCGACGACGCCGGCAACGGCGGCGGCGACGACGACGACGATGACGACGATGACGACGACGACAACGACGATGACGACGACGACGACGACGACGACGACGAGGACGAGGACGACGACGACGATGACGACGACGACGACGACGACGACGACGACGAGGACGACGAGGACGACGACGACGACGATCTCTGAACCACCACAGCACCACACCACACCACATCCACAGGGGGGGGAGGGGGGCACCGCAGCGCAGCACCACGCCACGCCCACCTCTGAACCACCACAGCACCACACCACATCCACAGGGGGGGGAGGGGGGCACCGCAGCGCAGCACCACGCCACGCCCACAGGGGGGGGCGGGGGGGACCATCGCGCGGGGGGGGGGGGGGGCCCAATGGCATCAGCATTGGGGGGGGGGAGGGGCCCAAGCCCTGGACCATACATGATACATGCTGCGTTGCGCACGCTCGCGCGCGACCTGGAGCGAGGAGGGGGAGGCAAGAGCCTAACACCGCTTCACCTTCGTGAATCCGAGTTTTACAATCACGGCGCTGTAATAAGGACCCTTTTGGGCTCGGGAGGGGCTGGCTGTTCATTGGGTCCTTCCGTGGTTGTTCTTCTGGACCCTTCGCGCACGCAGGCGCTGTCGGTGCCAAGAGGAGGCTGCGGTCCAGTCCTTATCTTTATCGTTCTTGTTATGGCAGCAGTTTGGTATTATTTTGTCGCATCGTTTGGGGTGCACGTCCGACGCCTTCCCGCATCGGAAAATCCGCCAAATCACGGCGGATCCGCAATCGGGGCCTTCGGCCCAGATCCCTGCGGGTCATGCAAAAATCAGGACGGTAGGTTTTTCATTATCATCGGCCTCTACATGCCCTTACGGGCCCTAGGGACCGTCAAATCACGATTCGGGATGAAAAACTGGTCCTGGGGAATGGGGTGATTTTTGGGGAACGACGTCATGAAATAACATTGAAGTCGGTGGTGCCCTGGTAGACTAGCGCGTTGCGCTACTGGCAAAGTAGCTGCTCGCAAATGGACTGCATCCGCCGCGGGGGACTTACGATCCATCAGATCGAGGCGAGCATGTGCTTTCCGGACGTTTGCGGGCAGGCACTTTTTGAGCAGTGGAACGCGACCTGTGACCCGGGACCAGTTCTTCATCCCGAGCTTTTTCGGGGTCAACGTCATGAAAAAATCAGGACGCCAGGGGTTTGGGCATACTGGTACTATGCGTCCTTCGTGGAGGCGGGCGCCTCCTGGCCGTGCCGCCGGGGCATCCGTGCACTGCAAGACCGCTGTCCTCCATACTACCTGGTCGGGCCCACGCCTCCACGGAGGACGCGCGGCACCCGCATTCGGGGAGCAAGCCACGACACAAACGTCAAGAGCTCGTCGTCCTCCTCGTCCTCCTCGTCCTCGCCCTGGAGGGGTGCCCTCGAGGGCGCGAGACTCGGGGAGCTCCGCCGACGGGCCCCCCTTCCCCGCGCCTCCTCGCGCCGCGAGAGGGCCTCCTCCGGGCGCCCCTCGGGGCGCGGGAGGCCCGCGCGGAGGGCCCTCAGCGGCCCGCGGGCGCCCCCCGAGATCCCAGGGGCGCGCGCCCCCGAGGGCGCGACGTGGTGCTCGCGCGTCGCGCTTCGCCTCCTCGGCCTCCTCGCCCTCCTCGGCCTCCTCGGCCTCCTCGGCCTCCTCGTCCTCCTCGGCCTCCTCGGCCTCCTCGGGAGGGGCGCCCCTCGAGGGCGCGGGGCTGCTTTCGCGCTCCGCGGAGCGGCTCCGATTCCTCCTCGCCGTCTGCTGTTCCCGCTCGCACTTAATCAGAGCCCCACGTCATCAGGGGTAACTCGGGTCAGGGCTAACTCGGGTTCGTTCTTCGGGAATCCGAGCCCGAGTTACCCCGGACCCGAGTTACCCCGGATAACTCGGGCGTCCAGAGCCCCACATCATCAGGGGTAACTCGGGTCAGGGCTAACTCGGGCTCCTTTTTCGGGAATCCGAGCCCGAGTTACCCCGGACCCGAGTTACCCCGGATGACTCGGGCGTCCAGAGCCCCACATCATCAGGGGTAACTCGGGTCAGGGCTAACTCGGGTTCCTTTTTCGGGAATCCGAGCCCGAGTTACCCCGGACCCGAGTTACCCCGGATAACTCGGGCGCCCAGAGCCCCACATCATCAGGGGTAACTCGGGTCAGGGCTAACTCGGGTTCCTTTTTCGGGAATCCGAGCCCGAGTTACCCCGGACCCGAGTTACCCCGGATAACTCGGGCGTCCAGAGCCCCACATCATCAGGGGTAACTCGGGTCAGGGCTAACTCGGGTTCCTTTTTCGGGAATCCGAGCCCGAGTTACCCCGGACCCGAGTTACCCCGGATAACTCGGGCGTCCAGAGCCCCACATCATCAGGGGTAACTCGGGTCAGGGCTAACTCGGGTTCCTTTTTCGGGAATCCGAGCCCGAGTTACCCCGGACCCGAGTTACCCCGGATAACTCGGGCGCCCAACTTAAGGACCACCTCCCAACAATCATTTCGAGCACACAGAGAAGTAGAAGTATCGAAACAGTGCCGAGCGAGTATCGCCTCCCAGGGCCCGACACGTGAAAACCCCTCATTTTCGGTACTGTCGTGGTGCTCGATTTTTTTTTGCTCTGGTGATCAAGGCTAGAGAAGGATGGCACATCATAATCCTCGCCCTCCTCTTCTCCCCCCTGGCTCGGCGGCGCGAGATCGCGGCGGCACCCGCGCCTCGCACAGCGCGAGGGCGCGACGTCAGACGCCCCTGGAGATCCCAGCGTCGCGGCGGCAGCTCTCGCCCGAGCCAGGCGGCGGCGACCAGGGGAAGGCGGACAAGAAGACGAAGAAGAAGGACAAGAAGGACGCGGGGGTGCGCGGGGTGCCACTGGAGGGCGGGGTATATACCGACGCCGCTGCCCGTCCCGGAGAGAGAGAGAGAGAGAGAGAGAGAGAGAGAGAGAGAGAGCCCTCGCCGCCGCGGCGGGAGGCTTCTCGCAGGTCTGGTCGGGGCGCACCCCGGGCGAGGGCCAGGGCGCGGCGGTGTCGGCACCCAGTGGCGCTGCCGTGCGACTTCGCCACCGCGCCGGGGCGGGCGACGGGGTGGGGGGGGGCGCCCCAGGGGGGGGGATAATTTTTTTGGGCCAGAGAATTTTTTGGAGGGGCCAGATTTTTCTTGGGACCAAAGAATGTGTTTGGGGAGCGGCCAAAGAATTCTTTGAGGGTGTGGGCGGGCGGTTCCAGGGGCCTCCTTCTCTCCCCCAAGCTTTTTGCTATATCTGGGCCAGCCGCCTGCCTGGAGGACGACAAAAGCCGCAGGGGCCTGGCCACAACAAGGAGCGCATCTTCGGCTCGATGGGTCGGGGGGCCCAAGTTACAGCTTCGCAAACGGCGCGAGGGCCCGACGCGCACCGACCAGTGCAGGCGCAGTGGCGGATCGATATCTTTTCGTTCCCCGCATTGCGCTCGTATACGATCGAGGTCGATCTGGGGAGGGGGGCCTCAATGGTTTTCGTGTTTGTTGGATGCTCTTGTTCATCCCAGGGAGGGTACCCTTGGATGCTCTGTGTGCGTTTTTGCCGGCGTAGGGTCTCGGGTTCTTGGGGGATCTTCTTGTGGCCCAGGTGTCCGACTGTGCCGCCGCCACCGAGCAGCCATCGGGGGGTGGAGCCGAACCCCGGGCGGTGTCCCCCCCCCCCCCCCCGAATGGGCTCCATTCGGAGGCGGGGGTCTCTGTTGCCCCCACCCCGCCCTCTCCTGAGGCACGACGGTGCAGCACACAGGTGCCGCGTCGCAACAGATCACGGCGCCTCCACGTGTTGGCGGCGTCGGATCTCAGGGGAGGAGCGGGAGAGGCAGAGCGAAGAGCGCGGAAGGTGGAGGAGGAGGAGGAGGAGGAGGAGGAGGAGGAGGAGGAGGAGGAGGAGGAGACGGAGGACGAGAGGAGGAGGAGGAAGGAGGAGGAGGAGGAGGAGGAGGAGGAGGAGGAGGAGGAGGAGAGGAGAGGAGGAGGAGGCGGAGGCGGAGGAGGAGGAGAGGGAGGAGGAGGAGGAGGAGGAGCTGGAGGAGGAGCTGGAGGAGCTGGAGGAGCTGGAGGACGGGGAGGAGGGAGGAGGAGGAGGAGACGGAGGACGAGAGGAGGAGGAGGAGGAGGAGGAGGAGGAGGAGGAGGAGGAGGAGGAGGAGGAGCCAAGGACTTGGTGAGGCTGAAGTTCAGGGAGGCGCAGCCGGGGGAGGAGGAACAGGAGCTTAGTAGGTTTCACCTGTCTGTTGCTGAGGGTTGCTGGACACTCCGACTTGATTGATTTTGTTTTTGCTGGAGTGCGGCCGGACCGAGGTATAAGATCGAGGCCGGTTCGGGGAGGGTGTGCCCTCATGCTCTTCGCGTTTCTCTTGGATGTTCTCTCGTGTATCTTGGGGGAGGGTACCCTCGAATGTTCTGCAGTTTGGCCGGCGGGGAGTCATGTTCTTGAAGGATGTTCTTCTGTCCGAGGCCCGACCGGAGGAGGGTGGCGAGGAGGAGGAAGGAGGCAGCATGGAAGAGGTTGGAACCCAGAGGCCCGACGATGCAACAGTAATGACGCATCGGAAAAGATACAGACGGAGTCCTGGACACCATCCTTCTGCGTTACTTGTCCAACTGGATCTATCTGTGAGGGCCCCGCGGCGCGAAGCTGAGCGGAAACGACCGGCGTGCAGAGCCTGCAGCGCCAGGATTACAGGACGGGGGGCCAGGTGTTCCTCGGCGGCTGTTGGCGGCGGTGGCTGGCGGCAGCGAGGGCCCTTCTCGTTCCCCAGCGGCACAGGGTCGGCGTCACCCCAACATACTCATACTAGGTGTGCGTCGCCCCCCAGGGGCGACGCGCGCACCGGGAAATCTTCCAGTATATGCGGCTTGGCGGGCGCTTTCTGGCCACACCGCTCGGGAAACGATATACTACAAGATGGGTCTACTATATTTTCGGGTCGGACGCGCGCCTCCAAGGAGAACACAGTACCAGTACGTCTTTGTGCGTCCCTCAGGGCGACCCGCCTGGGCCTCTGGTGCACCCGGCGAAGGGCGGGGGCCTGCCGACGCAACGGGCCCCCCATGCCTGCACACGCCCCCTGGGGATCCGCAGGTGCTCCTCCCTGCTTCCCGCCCTCCTTGCTGCTGCCGCCCCTGCTCCTGCCTCTCCGCCTGCTCCCTCTCACACCTCCCTCCCTTCTCCGTCTCTCTCTCTCTCTGTCTCTCTGTCCTTCTGTCCCTCTCTCTCTCTCTCCCTCCCTCGGTTTCGTCTGCGTCGTCCTCTTGCCACTCCATCGCCGACCGCCGCACCTCGAGCCCCCCCCGGCATCCTCCCCACCCTTCCCACTCCCCCCCATCGCGCTTCTGCCCCTGCCCTGCGGCGGGGATTCGCTCCCAGCTCGGGCCAGAGCCCCGGCGCGCCCAGAAGAAGAAAAAGAAGAAGAGGAAGAAGAAGCGCGACGGCTCCTCGTCATCGTCGTCATCCTCCAGCTCCTCCGTGTCCGACTGGAGGCAGAAGGTTCGGCGCCGACGTCGTTCCCGTCGTCGCCGTCGCCGGAGGGGGGTCGAGGATCCAGGATCGTGGGCCCTGGCTCTCGTTTGTTCTTCGCCCTCTTTGGGCTTCTGTCGGAGTGTCCTCGTCGCCACGGCCAGGGCCCGCCCCGAGAACCTGCTCGGGGCGCCCTTCGAAAAAAGGGGTCGTGGGCCGGTTTCGGGAAGGGGGGGGGCTTCGAGGCAGACCTGCGACGTTCTGATTGCTAAGGCCTTACGGCCAGTGCCGCCGACCCTGGACGCCGACCCCCACGACGGAAGAGGCATTCGGGGAAGGTCGGGACCAGACGCTCCAGCGAGTGCCCAGGAGACTACACGAGGCCTCCAAGAGGTGCCCAAGAACCCCCACGAAGTTTGGGGGGTATCTTGGGGAGCCTTTTTGGAGCCTCCTGGGGCTTCTGGCGGTTCCCTGGGGGCCTCGGGCGGGGCTCTTGGGCCCCGAGACCCTCCGGCGGGGGGGATGGCATTCTGACCCGGGACCCCCCTCTCAGGACCCCCCGCCCAAGCCCCCCGGGATCCTCCCGCCCCCCCCCCTTCGGGACCCCCCCCCCCCCACCCAGGGCGGGGAAGGGATCTTAGGGGAGGGGCTCCCTTCAACTCGACGACATTTTGCTCAATTTCGCTTGGGCTGCTTCTCTTCGGCTGCCGCGCTCAAGGATTGAGGGTCCAGGGAGATGGGGTGGAGCGACGACGAAGAGGACGACGAAGACGACGACGACGACGACGACGACGGCGACGACGACGACGGCGATGACGACGACGACGACGACGACGACGACGACGACGACGACGACGACGACGACGACGACGACGGCGACGACGACGACGAAGACGAAGACGAATAGGGGGAGCGACGAAAAGACGACGACGAGTCAAACGAAACAGCCTCTCGCACACGTTGACAGGGTCGGCGAACGTTTGTGTAAACCGTGAGCCGCAGAGCCTCTCATGGAGGACGAGACGGGGGGGGGCGGGAGGAGGGGGGGGGGGCGGGCAAGAGGGGGGAGGAAGAGGAGGGAGGAGGAGGAAGGAGGAGGAGGAGGAGGAGGAGGAGGAGGAGGAGAGGAGAGGGAGGAGGAGGAGGAGGAGGAGGAGGAGGAGGAGGAGGAGGAGGAGGAGGAGGAGGCGGAGGAGGAGAGGAGGAGGAGGAGGAGGAGGAGGAGGAGGAGGAGGAGGAGGAGGGGGGGAGATGAAGTTGCTGCCTGCCGCGGGCCTCGGCCCCGCGCTGGCAGGGGGGCACGTGCCTCGATGCAGGGCCGCTCCGAGAGGGAACCCGCTGCGTGCCGCGCTGGTGCGCCGACCCCGCCCGCCGTGATGCCACCCCCGCCGCCGCCCGTCCCCCACAAGCAGGGCTCCTCGAGCCCGCCCCGGGGGAGGAGCGGCGGCTCCGTGGGGCGTCCAAGAATATGTGGCATCTTCTTGGCGTCTGACGCTTTGGGCGCTTCGTGGATGCGCTTGTGCAGCGCGGGCGAGGTGTCATGGGGTGGGTGCGTGGGGCAAAGTGCGCCGAGGCGCCCCAGCGATCTGGGAGGTGCCCTCGGGGCGCCCGCGGCGAGCCCCACTCACTCCGGGCATGGGGTCGAGGCGCTCCCCCGATCTGACCCCAGAGGGCTCCTCCTCGAGGCCCTCTCCTGGGGCCGGCTCCTCTCCTCTCTGCGGGATGGCCCCCAGGTGGGTGTGCTGCTGGACGTGCTCCTGGCACAAGGTGCCCCTGCGGTTTCCAAAGGGGCCGCCAAGGCCTCCGGAGCACCCTTCACGAGGCCCAGAGGGCCCCAGGGGCCCCCAAATAGAGCGAACGCTGGGGGCACCTTGGGCAAGGGGCACCTAGCTGCGTCATGCTTTTTGTTGGCGTGACGTGGACCCCCAGCGGTCTGGCCCCTGGTGCCACTTTGTCGTCCCGAGCCGCTTTTCGACGGTCGCGAGGGCCGGTAAGGGCCCCCAGAGGCCCAAACTAACAAAAGACTCCCCGCCATGATTTTTCATGACCGGAGGGGGTCTGGGCTGGTGTGAAGGCGCGCACCTCCTAAAAGGCGGAAGTTCAAAGACAGCAAAAGAATAGTAGCCTGGGGGCGACTTTCTAGTATTTTTGACGATTCGGGGTTCTTTTTCAAGTATTGAACATTTTTCTGCCAAGATCCGCCTGTAGGGGGACGACGCCTGCAGGAGGACATGCCCGACCTAGCCGCTGGTGGCTCCCTGCAGGCCCAACGGGGAGACGGCACCCGGAGGCCGAGGCAGGGGCCGAGACGCCCGAGAGGGCCCGCCGGAGGCCCCGCGGGGCTTCCCCGAGGGGGGGGCCCTGCCGCGGAGGTCCTCCAAGGAGGTCAGGGGGGATAGCCATAGGTTTAAATCGGGCCTGTTCCTCTACAGGGGGAGTATTCACAAGTAGTCCAAAAATAGCCTGGGGACTATTTCTTGACCATGTTCGAGCACTTTTAGGGTATGTGTGGGGTATTCTTGATTTGTCGTCCAAAATCGGCCTGTAGGGGGACAGGCCCGACCTGAGCACAGGTCCAGGCCTCCTCCTCCTCCTCCTCCTCCTCCTCCTCCTCCTCCTCCTCCTCCTCCTCCTCCTCCTCCTCCTCATCATCATCATCATCATCCCCCTGGCCTCCACTCCCCTCCTAGATAGGTCCGGAGTAGGTGACGTCGGAGGGTCGCGCCGCATCGCCGATGCATCGCTGCAGTGAGGCTCGATGCAGACACCGATTCTCTCCATGCCGGCGTCGCCGAGGTAACGCCGACCCCATGTAAGCACTCGGACCCCATCCAGGAAGCCTCTAATAGGGGGGGGGGTGCACCCACCCCCAATCGCCCACTGACCGCCGACAGGGGTCTGACAGCCCGAAGCCGCCCGGGAGGGTGCGGATTCCCGATCGGGGGCCTACCGCCGATCTATCGGCGGTGTATCGCCGATGCCAAGTCGATGCATCCCCCTCCATGCCTACCCCCCCCTTATCGCTGCCCCTCAGGAGGTCGTCGGAGGCTTCCTGCGGAGGCTCCCCTTTCTTGCCGACGTTCGGATCGCGCCAACCTTACCGTCGGACCGAGGTATAAGGTCGAGGTCGGTTCGGGGAGGGTGCCCTCATGTTCTTCGGAGGGCGCCAACTACGCAGACTCCCTCGGGTCATGAGCAAATCATGAGGCTAGGTGTTTCGTTATTTTCGGCCTCGGGGGGTCTCACTGGCCCTCGAGATCATCAAAAAGCGATTCAGGATGAACAAACGGTCCCTGGGAATGGTTTCGGATCGTTGGGGATCCGCGTCATGAAATATTAATGATACCGTGGCTCTGGGTATACACCACCGCCGATCCTGGCTCTGCCAACCCTGGGCCCAGAATGAGTGAGCAGCACGGCTTCCCGCCGAAGCCAGGATGGCGTAGGCTATGCTTGAGCCTTCTCTTTCGGATGCAACTCCTGGGAGATGAAATTCAAAATCGGCCCTGGCAGATTCCTGGTCGTAGAAGTTTTTTTGTTTAATCTGGCTTGATCCCATATAATCTGGCTTGGTCTCACTTCGTCCGGCAGTAATCCCTCCTACTGTGGCTAGACCCCACGCCTAATATGGCCTAATTTGGCTCAATGGCCCCTTTCATCGGGCTTAAACTCCTGACGAAGGCCCGCCAGAGTTGCCTCCTCGCCCCTCACCTTCTCGACTTGCCGGCCATCGTCGGGACAGTTGCTCTCCCTCTACCGCCACGCTCGTCGCCGAGGTGCCCGACCCAGAGGCCCCATGTCGTGACTGTTTCAATGCGGGGTCCCCCGGAAGCCTGGACCCCTTCCCCAGGACCGGCTCGTCGTCCTGCGTCGTCTTTTGGCGGTCCCGAGGCCCGGGGGAGGGGGAGGGGGGAGGGGGAGGGGGAGGGAGAGGGGGAGGGGGGGGGAGGGGGAGGGTGAGGGTGAGGGGGAGGGGGAGGGGGAGGGCGAGGGCCCCCAAGAGGCCGAGGACGGCGACAAAGACCTCCGCCTCGATTTCTCTGCAGTGCGCTGGACCTCCGGGGGCCCAACGCGTCGCTGCGTCGGGCCGCGGGGCCCGGGTCCCCCTGCCCTCGCCCTCTTCCTCGCGCCCTCGCGGGGCCGCGCCCTTCTGCTTCTCCTCTCCTGCGCGACGTTGCTCCAGCGGCGCTCCGCGCCGGCTTCTTGGATGGAAGGGGCCCTGGGCACACAACTAGGTACACACAAATAGCAGCATCCCCCCAAATCCCTTCTATTTCCTGGGTTTTCGTCTTCCCCCCCCCACTTCCCATATCTTCCCACATTGTCTGGGGAATCGACGATTCCCTGTGTCGGTGTGCTTTTTCTCCTCCTGATGGATCGGCGCTGGACACCCCCTGGCGGCGCCGCCCCTGGCGCGCCCCGCGCGCGCGCGCCAGGGAGGGGGGGTCTCGCGCAGATCCAAGAGATCCGCGCGGTCCTTCAGGAAAGTCTCCTCGTGCAGTCTGGTGTGCGGCGTCGTCGTCTCCGGATTACGGAACTTGAGTGCGGCATGCCTCGAGGTGAGTGGCGGCGTCGTCCCAGGATGACCCGGCGAAGCTCACCAAGGTCGCGACCTCGTGAGCGAAAGCACGGCCAGAGCACTCGGCCCCGCCTCTGCGCAGCCTCTCTCGCGCCGGATCGATGCGCGGAGGGCCCGAGGGGCTCAGGAGAGGACCGAAGGAGTGCCCGTCGTGATCTTCCAGGACGCCGGGATCGGAGGCCTCCTCGAGAACCCCGCACGTCTTGGACTGCCAGCGGGTGTTGGGACTAGAGAGGGACAACAAAAGAGAGAGAGAGAGAGAGAGAGAATGAGAGACTCGAGCGAGGGAAAACAGAGAGTCAGAGAGAGAGAGAGAGAGAGACCCAGACACCCTTTGGATCGATCTCTTTTCAATCTGGCAGATTCCCTCCATCTCGGCATCGGGGAGTGTGGGGGGGGGGGGGGCGTTTTCGAGCCCCGGGGGCATCAAACATGGGTAACCTGGACGAAA